ATGATAGTAAAGGTGGAAGTATTATAGATAGGCTGTGACCTGCATTAGGCTCTTCCACACAAAACCACACTCCAGGCAGACGAGTTTCCTCTCTGTTCCTGAAGCACAGTGAGCCCTGCCCTGCCTTGGGGTTTTGCTCCTGCCAAAGGGTTTGTTCCTGCAGACTGGGACACTCTTCCATCCGCTCTTTCACTGGCTCACTTCTTTTCACACTCCAGGAGGAAACTCAAACCCCACTTCCTCTGAGAGTCCTTCTGTGGCCTGTCTTCCTGAACGTTCCCTCACCCCCTAGCTAGTCACTATTATATTAACCCTGTTTGGTTCCTTCTCAGGATTTATCGCAACCTGAAATCATCTTGTTTCTGATTGCCTGTTTATTGCCTCCACCACTGGAATGGAAGTTCCATGAGGGCAGGGCCCCTGTTTTGTTCACTACCCATGTCTAGAAAGGCAGGCTGCAAAATCAATGTTGATTGAATGAATTAACTAGTTAATGTGTTTCCAGAGTTCTAGCTGCAACTACACCCCCTTTTCTCCAACTGAACAAAGTATTTATGAGTATGAATGAGCAAGAGTGATAGTACTTATTATAATGCCTATTATATGTCCAAGCCACACCGCACACCAATTTTTTTTTTTCCTTTGGAGACAGATTCTCACTCTGTCACCCAGGCTGGAGTGCAGTGGCACGATCTCAGCTTACTGCAACCTCCACCTCCCAAGTTCAAACGATTGTCATGCCTCAGCCTCCCCCGTAGCTGGGATTACAGGTGCATACCACTATGCCCAGCTAATTTTTGTATTTTTAGTAGAGACGGGGTTTTGTTGTCATATTGGCCAGGCTGGTCTGGAACTCCTAACCTCAGGTGATCCGACTGCCTCGGCCTCCCAAAATTCTACAATTACAGGTGTGAGCCACCACGCCCAGCCCTAGACCAATTAAATCCAAATCTCTGGTGATGAGATCCAGACATCAGTATTTCAAGATCCCCTTGGGTGATTCCAATGTGTATCCAGTGCTGAGACTCTAATACCTTTGAAGGACAAGCACACAGACAATCTTCCATTTTGTTTCCCAGATCTACCAGTTTTCATACATGAAGCCTAGGACATCTTAGCTACTCCCTAGTCTCTGGAATCTCTCTTATTTTTTAGAAGTCAATAAATTTGCAAATTTCAATATGTTACTTAAGTTACTTGTGACACACATCACAAATAATCAAGATATATAAAGGCATCACAACCTCAAACTGAAACTTCCTAAATAGGAGAAGCAGCTTTTTAAAGCCCAAATATGCCATGATCCACCATGATCCATCTCAGGGCATAAAAAAAAAAAAATCCTTTATTATACCCAAAGCATTTCAGCTAGGATTTGAGATCTACAAAGATGGCAATTTAACCTCAAAGAGTTACTTGCATTTCTATATACAAGTAATTTGTTGTTTGTGGTTTTATATCATAGAAAGTGTTTGGAAGTCCTTTGGAAAGGTAAACTTCGTGTACAGTTGATCATTTCTTGGGTGTTTGTCATATACTGGGCACTAGGATATAGAAATAGAAATAAGATAGAAGTCCAACTCTTGCCGCACTGAGAACAGGAGAGGTAAGACACAGCCAGTGTCATGACAGGTGTTACTCAAATACAGTCTTATAACAACGCTACCATTTATCAGCCCTCTACTATGCATTTTGTGTGTGTGTAACTCACTATATACTCATAGCCATCCCAGAAGGCAGGTACTATTATTGTCATCTCCTCCCCTTTCTATTTTACAGATGAGGACTATAAGGTACAGAAAAGTTAAGTATCTTCTCTAGGGTCACACAGCCATTAAATGACCAGAGCCTGGATTCAAATCCAGACAGCCCAACTCCACAGCCCTCACGCCCAACCGTCATACTACATGGTGTCACGGGAACAAAGGGGCAGGAAAGACAATTTCTGGCTGTAGGAAGGCGATACTTCCTGGGAAAGACACCATTCATGTTTGCCTTGAGAGATGGGGAGACTTTCAAGAGGCAGATGTGGGGAAGGACTGTTTCCCGGCAAGGGAATGGCATTCGTGAAGATCCAAAGATTCTTGGTGAATGGCATGTTGTAGAGTGTAGGCTACATAATAAGAAGTAAGATAACGATGGGGAAATGGGCTAGGTTAGGGCCAGATTATGGAGTGTCAGAGGCTAGGGCCAGATTAAGGATTTGGACTTTAGTTAACAGCCTTTTGGGAGACCCTGAGGCTGCTGAGTAGCACAGGCACGTGGAGCAAACTTGAGGATGGACTGGAGCGGGAGATGGCAATGGGAGACCACTTAGGAAGCCATTTTAATAATCCAGGCAAGGAACAAAAACAGCCTAGGAAAGTGACAATGAGATAAAACAGGAAGTAGCAAATGTGAGCGATTACAGAAGAAACTCAACAGGACTTGATGTTGGATTGGAACTTGGAGTAAACGGAAGAGTCAAAGATGCATCTCAGGTTACTTGATACTGGGAGGATGGAGACACCATTAACTCAAATAGATAGGGAAGACAGGAACAGGCTTGGCAGAAGAAAGGAGGCAGATAAATTTCCTTTGGGGATATAAGGAATTCATCTCATTATTCTCAAGCCAAACCACCAGGAAGATTTTCTATTATTTGAAGTCCTGTTCAGGAATCCTTCACACTAACTGCTTTCCAATTGTTCTGTGACCTTTTACCTACTGAAATCGAGACAGGCACTTGTTGTAAGAGACTTATTATATTTAATTACTTAGAGCCTTCTGTCCTAGAAGGCTATGATGTCGTGTAATCCCATCGAGAGAGTACAGGAAAGCCAAAAGTTAGTTTCTTTGTTCAAGGAATTCAAAGCAAGGTGGGGAGGAGGGAGGCAAGAACTGCTGTCCAACTTGGGCAAAAGTTACATCCTAGAATTGAATTTGAAACCATTAACAGTTCAAGATGTGTTGCTCTGGTTCTAAAGAGGTGAATGAACATTTGGGGAGTGAACAGTGCTAGAAGCTGCTGCAGGTAAATTACTTATAGCTCCTTCTCAGAAAGACAGTATGGTTTATTCCCTCATTACTCGTGTGATCTGTGGACCAATGCCGTTAGCACAGGCCCTACCTCAGACCTACTGAATCAAAATCATTTTATTAGGATCTCCATATACACCCATTTATTTTGAGAGTACAGGCTTTGGAATCAGATGTGTCTGGGTTTAAATCTCAGCTTAGTCACTTACCACTTACTAGCAGGTAGCCTGCTGTACTTGCTTCCTCATGTCTAAAATCAGTATGTGGTTCTACACCTCGGTTTCACATCAGAATAGGCCGGGAGTGCTTTCAGAGATTCCATGCCCAGACCACACTACACACCAATTACAACAGAATCTCTGGGGGTGGGATCCAAATATCAGGATTTAAAGGCCTCCCAGGTGACTCCCGTGTGCACTCAAGGCTGAGAACCACTCATGGCTTTGACGAACAGGAGTGTGGCCATTGGAACCAGACAATCTTCACTTGTATCCTGTATCTACCACTTCTTATATCTGAGACTGGGGTTTCTTAACCTCTCGCTAAACTTTAACTTCCCTCATCTGTGAAATGAATATGACCTATAGTACCTCGTTCAAAGGACTCTGGGCACTGAAGGAGGTGAAACATGTAAAGTGCTTAGCACAGTGCACAATGAGTATTTGTTATTATTTATGCAAGGCGCAGCTTCCTTTGCAGAAAGAACCTAGGAAGCAACATGTGGGTTGAAGTATCATATAAACACCAATCTGCAGTCATGCTCATACCTTACTTCCAATTACTTGGCCACCAAAAGGTTAGTGGGTTTTGCCTCAGCTATTGAAAAAAATGCAAAAAAAAAAACCAAAAAAAAAAAAAAAAAAAACCTATTATTTTTCATTAGAGAAACTGAGGCAAAAGTTGGTTGGCAAGTAACTTTTGCAGAACAGGTTGGGGGTTCTGCTGGAAGCATCCAAAATGCTTCCGGCTGTGGGGTCAGCACTAGGTACAGAAGCGGGCATGGCACAATGCTTTTTCTTTGAACTGTCCTAGCACTTCAGGCAACAGACCCTGCACCTCATCTGTCTAGAGCCTCACAGCAATCTCTCCAGTTAGAAAATCTAGAAAGGGCTGGAAGGGTCTTTACAAAGACTCCTGTCCAACTGCTTTGCTTTTTAGAGTGTTGCAAAGAGGTAACCAAGGCCCAGGGAGCTGAGAAGACTTATGCAGGGTCATATGCAATTTAAAGCCATAACCAGAAGGCATAAAATGACCCAGTCAGATGTAGAGGAAACAGCCTAGTAGTGAAAAAGGAATTGAATGAAAGGGGGAAAAAGACATAATAGTGCTTTGAACCAAAGAGCTTTATAAACACTTGTGGCTTTAACCTGCCCAGGAGGTAGATAAGCATGTGCCCTTTAGTTTGTCCTCAAACTCAACCTCTCACAAGAGGTTAAGGAACACACCCAAGGTTGGAATTGACACTCAGACCTCCAGACTTCCTGGCTTTGGAGCTGGAAGTTCAGCCTCCACCTCCCTTGTCTATCAGGAAAAACATCTGGGTTATAATGCTTGAGGATGGGATATCAAGGGGAAGTGGTGGAAGTTTGGTTCCTCAAGAAACTTTGAGCAAGACTGCATGAGACCCTGCTAGAGGCCCCTCCCATTCCCTGAGTCACGCCTCAAAGAAGTTTCTGCACTTCTATCCTGGAGGCTCCCCTTGTATGACCTTTAGGGAAATCTATTTGCCTAAGATGTTGGATGGAAGGAAAGAGAGCCGAGACTTCAAAATGTGTGAACAGACACACCCCAAGGAGCTGCCTAAAGTAACAAAGCCTTTCCTTCACATGACTACTTCTCCCTGTTCTAACAGGGATTCTCAGCCACATAAGCGAGTGCCTAAAGCAAAGCAAGAGGAACAGGCAAGACCACAAGAAGAAAAAGCAAGGGGAAGTCATCTTTAAAGGCCAAAAGGTCACATAAAACATAATAAAATACAACTGTTTCCTTTAAAAATTTTAATGGACAGGAAATGGTATAGAATAACTGCCAAGTCACATAAATTAACTTTTTTGTTAATGTTTGTGATCCCGGAAAGAACACACTATCAGTCGACGCAAATTGCATGGGCGTTTTCATCAGTTGGTGTCTGGGCACATGACCGAGTGTGGGCCACGGACCCATCTTTACTTGGTCCAGAAAAAATAGTGGCTGCCATGTACGGCAGGCTTCAGATCTCCCTCGATCTCAGGGTTGGGCTCCGGTCTTGGTCTTGAGTGATAGGGATTCTCCGGTAAAGGTCGATCTGTTTTCACTTTGGTGACCTGGGAAGGGTGAAGAGGGCAAAAGCAAAGTTGAAAGCTAGGGTGGAGAAATCTGTAACCATGAACGTACCTCCTGGTGTCTCCCCAATGCTCTGGCTGCCACAACTGCTCCCCGACTTAAATCCCCAGCAAATCACATTCAGACTTATTTAATCCTTGAACAAACACTCAGGAAAGCCTACTTTATGTCATTCCATGTGGTAGAAACTAGAAATACAGAAGGGAACAAGGTACTGTCCTCAAAGGGATTACAGTCTAGTGAGGGAGAAAGCCAGGAATAACAACTAAGATTTCCAAATTACCCCAATGACTAATGGCAATGATGGAGACAGGAACTGCCTGCTATAGGAGTAAGGACTGTGTACATCTAACCCATCCTGAAGGCTGGAGGTTTGGACTATTTTTGAAGAGGTAAGACTTAGCTTAAAGTCTGAGCAGGAGCCAGTCAGAAAGACAAGGGAGGAAAAGACATTCCAAGTAAAGAGTACATATGAAGATAGACAGGCATGTCTTCAGAATGGCTGAAGCAAAGTCTGCATGAAGAATGGAGGGAGATGAAGCATCTCACCAACCACTTATTGCTAGAAATGATGCTGGCACATGATTCCATTCCATTTTCACTCTTATGAGGTCATTCTGCAGGGGCTCACTGAGGCCACCTAGCTAATAGCCGAAGAAATAGTACACAAAGTCAGATATGCCTACTCCAAAGCTTGTGCTTCTTAATACCACACTACAGTGGTGGACAGGCCAGATGATAAAGGGTATTAAATGATACGCAAAGGTGTTTGTGTTTTAACCTGATGGTTAACAGGTGCCACTGAAGCAGGGCAGTAACTAAATCCCATCTCTGTAGGCTGGAAAGTGTGAAAGCTAGACTGGAGAGACTCAAGACCCAAACTGGGGAGCTGAGCCAATAAGCCAGGAGAGTGGTGAAGTACTAAACTGCAACAGGGAGAGAGATACTCTACACTCACAGTATCCTCTGATGGTCACAAAAATCTTAACTGGAAAGCCAGCAGAAACTGCTGTCATTTTAAAGATAAATAGGCCCAGAGAAGTAAGAAGACATATTCTTCTTCAGAGGCATTATTATCTCTAGTTCACAGATGAAGACCAGGGAGGTTGGCATGCCTAAGATAAGATACACAGTAATGTCAGAGCTAAGGTTGGAACCTAAGTCTTCAATTCTACTAGTTTTGTTTGTTTGCTTTTGAAAGTTTTCCCAACGTCCTGCCATAAGCAGAGATGGTTCCTACTCATCCACTAATGGTTTCTTGGTATTTGTAGCTCCTTTAAGGAATTAAAGACATTTATGAAATTGGCTGGGCACGGTGGCTTATGCCTGTAATCCCAGCAATCTGGGAGGCTGAGGCAGGCAGATCACTTGACATCAGAGTTCAAGACCAGACCAGGCAACATAGTGAAACCCCATCTCTGCTAAAAATACAAAAATTAGCTGAGCGTGGTGGCAGGCACCGGTAATCTCAGCTACTCAAGAGGCTGAGGCAGAACTGCTTGAACCCGGGAGGCAGAGGTTGCAGTGAGCAGAGACTGTGGCACTGTACTCCAGCCTGGGTGACAGCGTGAGACTCCACTTCAAAAACAAAAACAAAAACAAAATGTTGCCCAGGCTAGTCTTGAACTCGTGAGCTCAAGCAATCCTCCTGCCTCAGCCTCCCAAAGTGCTAGAATTGCAGGTGTGAGCCATGGCACCTGGTCGAGAAATACACTTTTGAAAAGAGTAAAGATAATTTTTTTTTATCTTACAGAGTTTAAAAAAGTGTTAATACAAAGATTCAAGAATAAATATGCTTTCTTACTAGCATGACTTGTTATTTCTTCTTTCGTAAGTGTCGGAAATGAGAAAAGGTAGTTTTATTTGTTACATGTGTAAGTTCTACCACTTTCCAACCTAGAATTATCAACTATTTAAAATAATATGTTCAGTAAATCAAAAAGTATCTGAAAATAATCATGCCAGATACAAAAGGCAAAAAGTTTGCTAAGTTATTATTTATGACACCAAGCTTATATTCACAGATGCTATACACAAAGAGATGGGAACTAGACCGGGGGCTAAGGTGGCAGGATCGCTTGAGCCCAGGATCTCAAGACCAGATTGGGTAACACAGCAAAATCCTGTCTCTACTAAAATACAAAAATTAGCTGGGCATGGTGGCCTGCGCCTGTAGTCCCAGCTACTCGGGAGGCTGAGGTGGGAGAATCACCCGAGCCCAGGAAGTCAAGGCTGCAGTGAGCTGTGATCGCACCACTGTATTCCAGCCTAGGAGACAGAGTGAGACCTGAGATTTTTCCTCCATGCCTTGCTACCTGTGCTGCCCCAGAGGGAACGGACGGAGCTGAGGCTGAAGAAGCAGGGATGGGTCAGAACATAAAGGGCCTGCATGCCATGTTATAGAGAAGATGCTTTATCTCACCAGCAATGGAGAGTCCCATCCAGTTTTTAAAAACACAGTGACATAGATTTATTTTCCACACAGATCACTCTTCTTGTGGAGGTGTAATTTTATTCTCAATTCTTCATCTAAAGCCCACATTGATCCACCCTCCTCTCCCAGAACTTCATGTACCCCAGGTTAAGAACTCCTGTCCAAGAATAAGATAACAGCAGCAGGAACAATGAGGGATTTAAAAAAAAATTCCAGGAAATGCTAACCTATAGGAAGTGATGACTGCATGGAATCAGAACAGTAGGGAATGAAGAATTCAGGTTTCTAGCTCTGACGTTTCGACAGATGGTGGTGTCACAACTAAGATAGGAAATACAGGAGAAAGACAAACACTTTTAAAACTACAATTATGTAGTTTAAAAAAAAAATCTTAGATATGTTCCTGAAAAATGTGGCAGAAGCCTGATCCTATTTCCCCAGTGAATTCCACAATAACCTCCACAATGTTTTCAACTAACAGTGTTTCACTAATACTTTAGCTTCCTCTACTCCCTTCTGTTCTTTAATTAGCTAATTAACTAAAAATAAATCTGCACATGCTAGAAGGTCTAAAGAAATACTTCTATTTTTTTCTTTTTTTTTTTTTTTAAGACAGAGTCTCCCTCTGTTGCCTAGGTTGGAGTGCAGTGGCGCAATCTCGGCTCACTGCAAGCTCCGCCTCCTGGGTTCATGCCATTCTCCTGCCTCAGCCTCCCAAGTACCTGGGACTACAGGCGCTTGCCACCACGCCCCGCTAATTTTTTGTATTTTTAGTAGAGACAGGGTTTTACCATGTTAGCCAGGATGGTCTCGATCTCCTGACCTTGTGACCCACCCACCTTGGCCTCCCAAAGTGCTGGGATTATAGGTGTGAGCCACTGCGCCTGGCCAGAAATATTTTTATTTTTAAAAATTCCTTTCTGGACTATGTATAATCACTGCCTAATTAATATGTTTGGTAAATCTGGCAAGTTCTTACAACATATCTGTATTCACAGAGACCCTTTGCTGACCACCTCTTGCCTTTATCCCACCCCTGAGTCAGAAAGTGAGACCTCCAGGAGAAGCCTTTTTACCTTTGACAGTTCTCCCAGGTCAGGCCGCACCCAGCCCAATTTGTCCAGCACACACTCGTCAAACTTTGCCTGCTGTTTGCGACAGTGACGAAATAACTGCTGGCCAGTATAATCAATGCAAGTCCAATATTCTGTAAAAGGCTCTGCGCAGTGACGTTTTATCTGCCTGGAAAAGAAGGCTGGGTTAAACAATGAAAAACAGAAAAATGGTAAAACAATGAAAAACAGAAAAGTGAGAAGAAAATAGGTACAGATCTCAAATACATAACCTTGCTTTTTGAAAGGCATGTGAGTAAATATTCTTACCTCACTTACAAGACAACTTCAGGATCCTCCAGTTGAGAACAAGTTAGTAAACAAAAAAGATTTCTGAGGTAGAAAACCTAATTTCTTTATGTAGTAAGAAGAAAAGAGTGTAGCCTAATGCATGCATATTTTACTCAGAGAAGAACTCCTTACTTGGGGCCTATTTATTCTTTTCTTTAGATCCAATTCCTCAAAGGGTATCAGCTTAGCAAATTTAGAAGAGAAGGAGGCATAATTAGATAATGGACATGCTGACAGAAGTCAGAGGTGACAGACAATGGCAAAGGAAGAGACAAAATTATACAAAGCAAATACACAAACTAACAAGCAGAAGATCCTGGGATCATTCAGTATAAAGACAAACTGCACTCCACTCCTCAAAAGCTCAAGGTCCTCATTCTATTTACACATTGAATAAAAATAGATATTAATCCTTGCTATCAAGAACAAAGTTATATTTGGTATTCTCTGTTAAGAAGCAGGGTAGCATATAATTCATTCTGTGGCTATCAAAAATGGCTAGAGAAAATTTAACTTCTGTGTATAAAAAGAATAAGCTTCAGTTTTTTGCAAAATCCCCCTTATCATTCAACCCTGCTAGTATGCATGTTCAAGCAAGAATAAAATACCATCATTTTATGTAAAAGCCATACTTGAGGCAGTGAAATTCAGAACACCTCTTTCTCCCAATGAAATAATAATTTTATTATTTAAGTGCTTACCTGTCATACTCCAGAAATCTAGCTACACTCTCACATGAATCCTGTTTAACATGGATCAGGAAGGAAGGATTTCAGAGATGGCCCACAGAAGTACACAGTGACAAATCTGCTTTTCACTCCTGCCCAATAAGCCACTCAGCTGCCCTCCTGGAGGTCCACCAACGTCACTGGTTTCTTAGGTTTCCCTTCCAGGTATTCTAAGCACAACCTGCACCCACGTAACTTCTACACAAGAATCACTTTGATAGAAAGCAACCATTTCCAATGGGAGTTTTATATTCCTCCAAAACGCTGCAGCAGCAGACGGGCTGCAAACCACTATTCTAGTAGCACAGATCCCTGTTCTGGACCCCATTCCCCATACCTAACAATTATCTATTAATGCCTACAACCAGCAACTTCAGCAGTGAGAAATTCCTCTATGGAGGCAGTTAGGCACCTTGGGAATTTGTGAAATCCAAACATTCCCCGCTTAAAATGTACTACCACTGGGCCATGGAAAAAAAGCTTTGCAAAAGTTCTCTTAGAAAATAAAAATTGTTTAGGCTGGATGTGGTGGCTCACGCATGTAATCCCAGCACCTTGGGAGGCCAAGGTAGGCGGATCACTTGAGGCCAGGAGTTCAAGACCAGCCTGGACAACATGGCGAAACCCCATCTCTACTAAAAATACAAAAATAAGCCAGGCGTGGTGGCACACATCTGTAATCCCAGCTACTCAGGTGGCTGAGGCACAAGAATCACTTGAACCCAGGACGCAGAGGTTGCAGCAAACCAAGATTATGCCACAGCACTACAGTCTGGGTGACAGAGTGAGACTCTGTCTCAAAAAAAAAGAAAAATTGTTTGAATAAACACACACACACACATACACACACACACTCAACCTCGCTGGCAATCAAATCAATGCAAATTGAAACATCCAAAAATATTTGCACCCCCCAAATATTTAAATATTATGCATACCAGAAGCCAGCGCTGAGGACAGCATAAACTGATCCAACATTTAAAAACCAAAAGCAATTGCCGGGCACGGTGGTTCATGCCTGTAATCTCAGCACTTTGGGAGGCCGAGGCAGGAGGATCACGAGGTCAGGAGATCGAGACCACGGTGAAACCCCGTCTCTACTAAAAATACAAAAAATTAGCCGGGCGTGGCGGTAGGCGCCTGTAGTCCCAGCTACTAAGGAGGCTGAGGCAGGAGAATGGTGTGAACCCGGGAGGCGGAGCTTGCAGTGAGCCAAGACCTCGCCACTGCACTCCAGCCTGGGCAACAGAGCGACATTCTGTCTCAAAAAAAAAAAAAAAAAAAAAGCAATAAAGTTCAAGAGCCATAATAATGTTCAAAGCCTTTTATAGAATAATCTCACTGTTAGAAATTTATGCCAATGAATTATTGACTAATGAAAACGATCTACACGCAAAGGTAATCACTGCAGATTTATCCAAAATAATCAAAAACTGAAATCAACAATGATGTTCAATAACAGGAATTGGTCAGGTATGTTATGGTTGGTTTATCCACTGATGGAATAATATATAACCATTAAAAATGATGATCATGGCCAGGTGCAGTGGCTCACACCTGTAATCCCAGAACTCTGGGAGGCCAAGGAGAGCAGATCACTTGAGGTCAGGAGTTCGAGACCAGCCTGGCCAACATGGTGAAACCCCATCTCTACCAAAAATACAAAAAAATTAGCCAGGCTTAGTGGTGCGGGCCTGTAGACATGTGAATCGCTTGAAGCCAGGAGGCAGAGGTTGCAGTGAGCCAAGATCACACCATTGCACTCCAGCCTGGGCAACACAGTGAGACTCCGTCTCAAAAAAAAAAGATCATGAAGACTATATAGCAACTTCAAAGAATGTTTCCAATAATGTCAAGTGAAAAATAAAAATGAATTTCTCAATGTATACATACTATGATTATAACCACAAAAATATCTTTGCATAGAGACAAAGACAGCAGAAGCAAGAAAGAAGGAAAGCAGCTACTGTGCTAAGGTATCTATTTTTCTTTTCTCTAATGTCACTGTTGTGGACATTGGTGGTTTTTGCCTAGTCAGCAGTCATTCCCCCATTCTTCTGTAACATCCTTCTAATTCTCCTTTGGGAACAACCTCTCCCTGTCTCTTAGCAATGTGGTTTGGATGAAGCTAAGTCCACTCCCCATCTCAGGCCTAACCAATCAGAGCCTTTTATCTCCTGAAGCACAAGTGATGCAATGATATGTATATGAAGTCAGCCAGCCAGGACAATTAGACTCAGTCCAGGAGCTTCTGCTCACTTCTGGATAAAGGGCACACTTTGTCTAGGTTTGCTAAGCAAGTATCAACAGAATAGCAGCTTGAGTGGCTGGTGGCCATTTGTGGTACAGCAAGGTAACAGCCTTTCTGAAATGAGGTAAACAGAGAAAACCAGAACTAAAAGACTGTGAAAACAGGAGAGGCAAAAAGACATCAAGTAATTGTGAAATTATTTAAGCCCTTGAATCCAGTCCTGCCTGATGCCAGGCCTATTTCTGGACTTCAGAGTTACAAGAGCCAATTTCCTTTGAGTTGACTTTCTTTCCTTTTAAATAGAGTGCTAATATGCTTGTTAAAACATTTTCCTACAATTACACAGTTTAGGTTTTTTTACTTAAGTATCAAGCACAGTGACCTACCTAAAACCTAACTCTGAATACAATTTTCTTTCCATCATACCTGTGTTCTGTAGTAATGACAACAACCTAGTGAATGCCTGCTTAAAAAGGACTGTGCTAAGTTGTTTTACATGCCTTTTCAAATTTTTCACAGCAAAAAGACTTTCCCCTTGCTGTAGCAAAAATGGTCACCAGTCACTTGCTTAGCAAACCTAGATAGGTATTATTTTACAATTTGGAAACTGAGATTCATGGAGATTAAAGAACTTGCCAGATAATAAAAACAAAACTAAAAATAATTATCATCCTTTGAATGTTTTACCTTGGTCTGATTTCAAAGCCTATGTACTTCCTACTAAAATCCACATTATTAGCTGGCTGTTCACTTATTAATTTAAACCTTTATGTTTCAACCAAGTAGGCACTGATACCAGAAGATTTTTACCTAAAGAAGTCCAAAGCACACTTGTTGACCAGCTTGCCTTCCTCCAAACACCGCCTCGGATCTTTCTCTTCCCAGCGGCAGAGCATAAACTCCTTGTTGGGCTTATCACACTGAGCTCCATAGTGATGGGCCGCAGCTTTAAGCACAGCAGAACTAACTTTCACCTAGGAAAGGAAAGATGGGACAAAGACCACAGACTGTGAACCAGAATACCACTTTCTCAAGTTAACCTCATGCGGGTCAGAATAGAGAACACAAAAGTAGCACTGTTCTGACTTTACCAAGAGTAGCACTGTTCTGACTTTACCAAGTGCTACCAAAAGTAGCACTGTTCTGACTTTGTCATTTTTTTTTTTGGTCACTCCCATCACCCAGGCTGGAATGTAGTGGCGCGATGTCGGCTCACTGCAACTTCGGCCTCCCAGGCTCAAGTGATTCTGCTGCCTCAGCCTCCCAAGTAGCTGGGATTACAGGCATGAGCCATCTCACCCGGCGATTCTTTATAATCTGTGGTGATTTAGAGAACACGAAGCTCTTTCACATATATTATTTTCTTCACTTTTACAATAATCTCATGAAAAGATTACTATTCCCATTACTATCCCCATTTTAGAGCGGAAGAAATGGCACCCCTAATAGAATCTTTAGATATGTATGGTAGACAGAAAGGGGGTGTGGAGAAGGATGGAGGCTTCTGGGATGTAGGGAGAGGAACCAACTCTGGAGAGCTTCACTGAGTTTCTGCTGCTGGAATAAAATCAATAGATATATAAGGCTGGGCACAGTGGCTCATACAGGTAATCCCAGCACTTTGGGAGGCCAAAGCAGGCAGATCACTTGAGGTCAGGAGCTCAAGACCAGCCTGGCCAACACAGTGAAAGCTCATCGCTAGTGAAGATACTAGAGATGTATCTGGGCATGGTGGTATACACCTATAATCCCAGCTACTAGGGAGGTTGAGGCATGAGAACTGCTTGAACCCAGGAGGCAGAGGTTGCAGTGAGCCAAGATCATGCCACCACACTCCAGCCTGGGTGACACAGTAAGACTCTGTCTCAAAAAAAAAAAAAAAAAAAAAAAAAAAAAGAATTAAATTAAATCAAATTAATGGATAAATAAAACTCCCAGAGGACTACAGAGTCACAGAAGACAAGGCTGGAAGGGATCACAAACAGCATCTAGTCCATCTAGTAATAGTCCATCTAGTCCATCTAGTAGTAACTAATAATAAAGTACTAAAATCTGCAAATTTTTTAAAAATCAGAGCATATCCAAGGTTGCCATCCCTTTAACTATGCACACCCGTTTCCCTCAATAGCATTTTAGTGATATTTTCTTGAGAAGATACACAGTGTAGATACAGCCAGCACAGAAAGAACTGTAAACTGCCCAGGGCCTACTAACAACTGCTCAAGCAAGAGACCTGCTGGTCCCTTTTCTGTACTACCTTTTCTTATACCAATACCACAATGTTTTAATTACTGTCACTGAGGAGAACATTTTGTTATCTGGGAGAACCATCCTCTTCATTCTTCCTTTTCAAAACTTTTCTGGCTATTCTTTCAGAAGAACACCTTCCCCCAATAATTTGCATTCAAATTGTATTAAATTTAGTTATATATTAAATTAGGGAACAATGGGCACTTTTATAAAACTGGGTACCTGCTCAAACTTCACATCCTCAGAGAGTCTCTCTCTAATCATCTTATATAAGCTAGCATCAGTGGTCACTTGTGTGGTCTGGTCTTAGCACTCATGTGCCAAGTCTGATCAATTCTAGATATACTTGTTCTTTCCTCTCTGTAAGCACAATCCCTGTGTAAGCACCAATCACGCTGGGGTCATCAACATCTTTCTCAATAATTTTTTTTTTTTTTTTTTTTTGAGACAGAGTCTCGCTTAGTCGCCCAGGCTGGAGTGCAGTGGCGCGATCTCCGCTCACTGCAAGCTCCGCCTCCCGGGTTCACGCCATTCTCCTGCCTCAGCCTCCCGAGTAGCTGGGACTACAGGCGCCCGCCGCCTCGCCCGGCTAATTTTTTTGCATTTTTAGTAGAGACGGGGTTTCACAGTGTTAGCCAGGATGGTCTCGATCTCCTGACCTTGTGATCCGCCCGCCTCGGCCTCCCAAAGTGCTGGGATTACAGGCGTGAGCCACCGCGCCCGGCCCTTTCTCAATAATTTTAAGAGCCACTGAGTGGTCTGTGTGTGACTAGAATATAAGCTCCAAAAGGGAAGGGATTTTGTTATCAACAGAGATTCACTACTGTAAAGATATCAATTCTCCCTAAATTAATATATGGTAATTAAATATAATGTTGACTACGGTACACACCAAGCACCCAAAATAGTGTCTAGCATAAGTAGTTGTTGAGCACCCACTCTTTGCTAGAAAATGGGGATACAATAATTAGAAAACAGATATGAATACATGAATTACACCTTCTCATCCACAACACAGTACTTCTCTCCATTAATTCATATTCAGGTCATTCTTGTCCTTTGGTTAAAATTACAGTTTCCTTCATTATAGGGACCTTGAAGATTTCTTGTTTATTCCTCAGTATTTTAGCACTTTTGATACTATCTAAATAGGATAGTTTTTCTATTAGATTTTCAAACTGCTTGCTTTTGAAAATCTGCTTGTTTACTGCTTGCTTGTACACTGTATTTTCTCTCCAGCCATCTTACTGAACTCGTTAGTTCTGACACAAAACTCGAGAAGATTAACAGAAAAACTGCCATTTACAAATAAAAACTGTCTCTTTCCCTTCTCATACTTTATTTTTTCTTCTTATTCTCATTTCCTATTTTATTGCTTTGACCAACCCCTTCAGGCCAATACAGATGAAGAGCAATGACAGCAGACAACCTTCCCTTTTTCTAAAATTAAAAGCAGGTTTGGTATAATATTTGCTGTTGGTATCTGGAATATAGTTGTTTGGATATTCCTTGTTAAGAAAACTTCTTTCTAATTCTAATTAGTTTTGCTTTACCCATGTTTTCTATACCAGAAAAGACTAAAATTTTTAGGCTTCGTTTTCATTAATTTATAAATGTAACATAGAGCATTAACAGATTTTGTAAAACGGATCCAATGTATTTCTAGAATAAAATCTAGTCTGTCACAGTGTATTATGATTTAATACACTACTGAATTTGATTTGTAAAATTAAAATTTTTTGTGTGAGAACAGTCTGTAATTTTATTTTATTTTATTATTATTATTATTTTTGAGACCGAGTTTTGGTCTTGTCCAGGCTGGAGGGCAGTGGCGCAATCTCGGCTCACCGCAACCTCCACCTCCCGGGTTCAAGTGATTCTCCTGCCTCAGCCTTCCTGAGTAGCTGGGATTACAGGCATGCACCACCAAACCCAGCTAATTCTGTATTTTTGGTAGAGACAGCGTTCCTCCATGTTGGTTAGGCTGGTCTCAAACTCCCAACCTCAGTGATCCTCCCACCTCAGCCTCCCAAAGTGCTGGGATTATAGGCATGGGCCACCGCGCCCAGCTGTAATTTTATTTTTTATGCACTTTACGCAGCTAGGTTATTAATAAAAGGCAAGGAAAGATGACAAGGGTAATAATCTATACACTATAGAAAGGAGAATAAAGTTATGACTATGTCTATTAATAGTGCAACTGTTACAATTAACAAAAATAAAGTTATAACATAAGTGAAATCTGCCATGATGACTCTAATAAATTTATGTTTAAAATCTGTAAAGTTTTCGTATTAAAGGTTTTGAAAATAATTTATTTAGGAAAACTGGCACACATTTGCTTGTTTTATTACCTATAAACAACTAGGAGAATAAAAACTAACACTCAAACTTTTTTAAAAGCTTAATATATTTTAATAATTAAGTTAGTTATATTTACTTGTCATATGCCTTAAAAGAGCTTTAACTGGCTGATTCATCTATTCAAAGGCCCAAAACTATAAGGCCTGCCTGCATTATTTATTTCCCTACAAATGTGGAAATCTTATCAAAACGAAGGTATACTCATGTTGTTGAGCATATAAAACACCATCCCTGTCACAGGAAAATAAAGGAAGACATTGAGTCTGTTTTGTAATTAATGAAAAAGAGGGATGTGCTAGAGACAACACAGTGAGTCAGTGGCAACCCCGGTGGCAACCCCAAAACTGGAACACTGAGATTGTGACCTCCAATGAGGCTTCTTCCCATGATATCACCATCCCTGAGGTGGATGAGCCTGAGATGTCACCATATCCCCTCACCTGCTTCTTCACTAAGACTGATGAATTCCAACAGAAACAACATCCTTTCACAGCTGTTTACTGTGAATACCCTCTCAAATTCCTTCAGCTCTCTTTGTCTCAAAGAACACAGAATTTCAACATCCTTCCTCATTTATTCTCACAACAGCCTCACTGCGCAGCAGGGTTACACAGTCTGCAGGTGTGGAAACTGAGACAAAGTCACCATCTAGAGCCAATCAAACTTCTAGTCCTGTCCTTGCCTCCTTAAACTATGTCTGTACCTCTTTTTATAGTACTTTATTTATACCATACCTTGAGTTTTCCTAAATTTATGTAAAACAGAGAATAGTACTTATTTAATAAAACTGTTACGAAGATTCAATTAGCTAATACATATAAAAATAAGAACAGTGCCTATCACATTGAAAGTACACCATAAATATTAGCTATTTTTATTTTCACTCAAAATTGTCAATATGTCCAAGGACTTTCCAGTCCAAAGCTTCTGACTGCTTTTTTCAATGGAGATGTGTCATAACTCCTAAGCCAATGAGGTCCAAAATGTATTTAACTCGCACTCCAAACCTGCTCCTTCTTCTGGCTTCACCAGAAATATTGCCATGTTGCAAATCTGACTTTGATTCTTCAACTTTCCCTGCCTCCAATATCAAATCCATTGCTAAGTCTGATCAATTCTAGATATACTTGTTCTTTCCTCTCTGAAAGCACAGTCTCTGTAAACACCAATTACACTGGGATCATTAACATCTTTCTCAATAATTTTAAGAACCACTGAGACCAGTCTCCCTGCTTTTCTTTTTGTTTCTTCAATCCACTCTTCACACAGCTGCTAGAGTGATCTCCCTAAACGACAATTCTTATTTTACTCTGCTATTAAATTAGCAACCAAACTCTCATTCAGCCTTGATAGCAGAATAAAGCCTAAACTTCCTAACGGGTATGGAAAGGCTTCTGGACCCAAACTATCTTCCCATCCTTCTCACCCACAACATTTAAAAAAGGGACTATTTACTGTTCTCTCAGAACACTGAACTCCTGTTTGGCTCCCTGCATTTTCCCATCTCCTTACTTTTGCTCAGACCCTACCCTCACTCAGAGGGGTCTTCTCTCCATCTCTGCCTATAAGTGCCATTCTTCAAATGCCATTTAGCCACATCTTACGTTATGCCCAAAAAGTGCTTTCTCTATTCCCTTTATAGCTTCAGAGAATTTTATAGCTGGGATCACCTCATCTTACAAATAACCATGTCTGCAAATGCTAAAATCAAGTAATCAAGGTGACCGGCAGGTAGGCCTAAAATTTAGATCCAACTTCAAATCTTTTCCTAAACCATATCTGCCCCCTTTCATAGTATTTAATCACACTTTGTCTTGTATTTTAGTTATTTAAGTAATTATCTGTATGTTCATTCAATTGTGTGAAGCCTAAAGGCAAATGTATTTCAGATATACCAGTTCTATGAAACAGAATCTCAGACGTTTGTTGAACCTAATAAAAACTGCAACAAGAAATTCAGCAACTCAAGATTAACCCAGCTACATGGGGGGTGGGGGGGAACAAAAGACTGGTGGCCACAGGGCAGCTCCCCTCTGCCACCTCAGAGTAAATGTCACTTTAATATAAGTCCCTGAACATAGCTAATAATTTCTTCCTCAGGAAAATAACAGTTGCCACTCTCACAGGCATCTAAGTTTAAATGAAGCATTGCAGGTAAAACACTTAACATATGGCCGGGCGCGGTGGCTCATGCCTGTAATCCCAGCACTTTGGGAGGCCAAGGCGGGCAGATCACTAAGTCAGAAGATTGAAACTATCCTGGCTAAAACGGTGAAACCCCGTCTCTACTGAAAATACAAAAAATTAGCCGGGTGTGGTGGCGGGCGCCTGTAATCGCAGCTACTCGGGAGGCTGAGCGCAGAAGCGCTTGAACCCGGGAGGCAGAGGTTGCAACGAGCCAAGATCGCGCCACTGCACTCCAGCCTGGGCGACACAGCGAGACTCTGTCTCGAAAACAACAACAACAAACAAAGAAAACACTTAACATAGTATATTAGTGCTGGCACATCATTTCTAGTCTTGGTCTTCCTCTCCTTTAATATAGCCTGTTCTACTACTCAGCCCTGCCATGGCACTCCTGTGCTTTAAAACCTTCCACCTCTTCCCACCATCTCCCTTACGGGATTGAGTCCAAACTGTTTGGTCTGGCCTTGTGGAAGCTGCTTCCAAGTCCTATCTCAGCCCAAGTTGCCTCTCCAGGCTCAGCACCTGCTGCTTCCCACCACCACCACTAGGGTCACATCAAACCGTACTTGGCTTCCTAAACACACAGATTCTGCTAGGCCTTCTCATTCTTTTGAGTTTTCACCCATAATACAGTGGAAAAGCATTGGTTTTAAAATCAGACCTGGGTTCACTTCCAGCTCTATTACTTACAAGCTCCATGACCTTAGGCAAATCATTTCTACTCTCGGGGCCTAGTTCCTTATTTATAACATGTTACGACCCATTGTGTATATATATATCCTACCTTACAGTGTTGCTGGGAAGATTCAATGAATTAATGCACGGAAAGTAATTAGCATCCTGCTTGGCATCTAGAAAGGACTTGATCATGTTAGCTATAATTAGTAGGGTATGTTTCTATTTCACTTCTCACAGCACTAACTACATTGTACTGTGATGGCCTCTTTATATGTCTGTCTCCCTACTGGATTGAAAGTCCATGAAAGCAGGAAGTATACCTCTTCCAGCATTGTGTGTACATGTTAATTACTCAAATGATATCTCCTGAATAAACGAATGCTTTAAGTGAGTCCTGTTACCGAACACCTTCCCATGGCTGCGAGTAGATGCACGCTCCAATATCGTCTCGTTTTCCCGCGGCCTCCTCGCCCCACTCTATGCACTCTGCACCGGTGATACCACTTTAAGGTAGTGACTGTCTCCCTCGACTGTGAGCCCCTAGGGTTCACATTGAGCCCCTATACTCACTTCGCATGCAAGTTTGAGGATTAAGCGACATAAGCTAAGTAAAATGACTGGTTGGTGCTTAATAAAATGTATCACTATTATTCACGGAAGGAGAAGCAGGTCGCCGTGGAAGGCGAAAGGGGGAGGATTCTAGAGTCATTGCGGGATGCAGCAGGGTGGGGTAGAGAGGGGAGGCGACTTCAGAAGCTGCGGAGGGGACCTCCGGGGGTCGACCTGTATAGGTGTTGGAGGACTGGGGAGGGGGGCCCGGGGCCCAGGATCCGCGGAGCCTAAGCGGGGCTGGGCCCAGGCCCGAGAAGCCGCAGCCCCATGTCTCCCTTGCCTGTCCTCCGGACAGCCTCACCTCGTCTACTTTCAGCTCCTCTAGAGTGGGCAGCTCCACTATCCCCGGCATGACGGCTGCAGCCCCGACCCCGACGAGGAGCCCTCAGCCGCGTCTCCCCCGTCTCCTTGAACTCCCCTTTCGACCGCTGAGTGCCACACGGCGCCTGCGCATGCGCATCCGGTAACACGCAGGCGCACTGCTCCGCCCACCACCCGCGAGCGAGGGAGCGTGCGCAATACCAAGAAGCTGGCCACCTCCAGGGGGCGGGGCTTCGATTCGGCTCCGCCCACCCCTCCAGGTTGTCATAGTGATGCCGTCTCCACTGAGACTCCGGATCCTAACAGCTGGAAGCTAAAAACAGGCTCCATGGAGTACACAGGGAGCAAATATATCGGGGAATATGTAGATGGGAGGTAAGGGGCTCATTTGATTCACTTACTATACCTTGAATAGCTGTGACTGGAAAAAGACAGCTGTCTTTTTGCTTCTGCGAAACACCTTGTGCCAGGCACTTTCACAAACTTGCCAGAGTAATTTTCTCAAGGACCATATCTAATAAGCAGCAAAGCTGAGATGCATTCATTCCATATATACTTATATGTGTGTGTGCATTCACTGTGTGTGCGTGTGTGCGTGTTTGCTATCTGCCAGTTTTAGACATAGGAATAAGAATATTTAAAATGTCAAGATCCTTGCTCTTATGGAGTTTATAATCCAGTTGGAGATGTATTGCCAATAAACAAATAAGTGATAAAATAATTACAGATAGTGGTAAATGCTATGAAAGCAAACACGAAGATTGGGGAAGAGAGACTGTGGCTAATCTGAATCGAGACGGTTGCTTCCCTCCAGGAGTTCACAATCTAGAGATTATTATAGAGGATTATATACACAAATCACTGTAGTGGACTAGTAGTAAAAAACAATTCAACAGTTTTTTTTTCCTTCCTTTCCTTCCTTCCTTCCTTCCTTCCTTCCTTCCTTCCCTCCCTCCCTCCTTCCCTCCTTCCCTCCCTCCCTCCTTCCTTTCTCCATTCCCTCCCTCCCTCCCTCCTTCCTTTCTCTCTCTCTCTCTCTCTCCCCCCTTCTCTCGTTTTTGTGGGGTTTTTTTGTTTGTTTGTTTGTTTGTTTTCAGACAAGATCTCGCTCTGTTGCCCTGGCTGGAGTGCAGTGGCCTGTTCACTGCTTACTGCAGCCTCGACCCCCTAGACTCAAACAATCTTCCCGCCTGAGCCTCCCAAGTAGCTGGGACTGTGGGTGTGCACCACCACCCCAGCTAATTTTTCAATGCCTTTTGTAGAGATGGCATCTTGCTATGTTGTCCAAGCTGGTCTCGTACTCCTGGGCTCAAGTAATCCTCTTGCATGAGCCACTGTGCCCAGCAATTTAACAATGTTGAGTGGCTACCAAGTACCAGGCCCTGGAATTGACTCTGGGCACAATCCCTGTCCTCAGAAAGTTCATTCAAACATGATGGGACAAGTAGACATAACTGATAACTGTGATTCAGTGTGGTAAAAGCTGTGGTAGAGAGAAGCAGAGGAAACACAGAGGTGGCCACTCTTTCTTGCCAGCCACCCTGGATGAAGAAAGTGGAATCTCTGTTTTTATAGCTGAGGAAACCAAGGCTGAACGATATGAAGTGGTTTGCCAAACCAGTGCTAGTTGTGGGGACTGTGAAACACTCCCACCTTGGGGCCCCGTATTCACAAGTTGGTGGAATTCCAGGCCATTTTGGATTAATAAGAAAGAGGGATCTGTGGTCTGGGCAGGGATAGGAGATAGATTCCTAGAGAAGGTGGTAGGAATGCTATGGGATGCTATCTCTAATCCTTACATCAGTCTTTCAAGGAAGATGTTATTATCTTTCCAGGTAAGAAAGGTGACCTTTACAGGGCTTGAGACACTTATCCTACTCAGCAGGTAAGTGGCAGAGATGCCTTGGTGTGTACCCTCTCTCACTACTCAGTGAGATAGTTCAGGCTGACCTTGCAAATAAAGGAACAGAAGTTAAGAGAAGCAAAATGACTTGCCCACCATTATGGATACACAGCTAGGAAGTAATGGAGTCAGGATTTGAACCCAATCCTCTGTACAAACCACATTCTTACTTTTCACAAGGCCCTGTTACAGTGAAGGTGGTAGAATTTTGGCAGATAGAGATGCGGTATTGGGCATTTTAGGCACAACAAGTTGAGAAACTCCATTAATTTTCAATGGGCTGTGTATGTGCGAGAGAGAAACACACAGACAAGGCAAAAGAAGGAAGGCTTTCAACCATTTGCCTTTGGCCTTCTGTGCATTTTCATTGGGTATGTCGAGTCAGCCATTTCCATGCTTTTGTCCCTAGGAATTTGGGTTTTGCTTGAGGTTGTTTGGTACCTCTGTAACCATGAAAGGGATTTCCAGACCTGAACAGGGCTTCCCAACTTCCCATAACTAGCAAGAAGTCAGCAGTTTTTCGCTTGTTATACTTCTTTTCATAAGTGGAACATGTGTTGTTCTGTATTGATTTTGTATTTTTAACAACAGTTAACTAGAGTTCTATTTGGGGCGTCTCAAATTTCAGCATGTAACGAGAGAGACAACATAGTAGAGGTAAAAAGGTTTCAGCATCAGACAGGTCTGGGCTCAAGTCTGCCACTTGCTTGTTGTACACTTAATTAACCATCCATACCTCAGTTTCCTCATCTGTAAAATGGGAAAGCAATGCACATTCAGCAGTAGTATTCCAAAGAATAAGTAATGATCATATATGGATGTTATTTACATACGGTAGGTACTCAATAGCTTTTTTTTAATTTAGGGAGGGGATATTTTCCTCTTGGCGTTTAAATGAATATAGTAACTTCTCTATATAGTAGGAAGTTGATACTTAACATTTGGTTTAAAAAGTTTATGTAGGCCGGGCGCGGTGGCTCAAGCCTGTAATCCCAGCACTTTGGGAGGCCGAGACGGGCGGATCACGAGGTCAGGAGATCGAGACCATCCTGGCTAACACGGTGAAACCCCGTCTCTACTAAAAAATACAAAAAACTAGCCGGGCGAGGTGGCGGGCGCCTGTAGTCCCAGCTACTCGGGAGGCTGAGGCAGGAGAATGGCGTAAACCCGGGAGGCGGAGCTTGCAGTGAGCTGAGATCCGGCCACTGCACTCCAGCCTGGGCGGCAGAGCGAGACTCCGTCTCAAAAAAAAAAAAAAAAAAAAAAAAAAAAAAAAAAAGTTTATGTATACTCTCCACGGCTGATAGGAACATCAAATGGTACGACTGCTTTGGAAAAGTTTGGCAGTTTCTTAAAAAGTTAAACAGCCATTCCACTCATAAGTATTTACCCCAGAAATGAAAGTGTATATCTATACAAAGACATGTATACAAGTACTCATAGCAGCCTTATTTATAACAACCAAAACTAGAAACAAACCCAAATGTCATCAACAGAGGAATGAAGAGACTGTGATATATCCAGTCATTGGAATACTACTCAGCAATAAAAAAGAGTGAACTACTAGTACACAGAACAACATGAATGAATCTCAAAAAATTACGTTAAGTGAAAGAAGCCAGACAGAAAAAGAGTAGATACTATATGATTCCATTTATGTAAAATTCTAGAAAATGCAAATCTATGGTGATAGAAGGTAGATCAGTAGTCACCTAGAGATGAGGATTGTGGGCAGGGGCAAAGAGGAAGTGTTATGGAAAGAAACTTCTGTGGGGAATAGATATGTTGTCTTGATTGTGATGATGGTTTCCCAGGTGATGTCAAAACGTATCAAATTGTACACTTTAAATATGTGGCTTATTGTATGTCAATTACACTTTAATAAATCTACTTTTAAAAAATCTTAAAAGAGACATGATTTCCCTGTACCACGTGTGAATATTTAAAAAATAAAAAGTTAATGTAGGATCTGTCTGACCTCAATATTATGGTTTCTTTGGAGTAGTTGCACAATTGAGTTCTAGATAACTCCACTCCAAAGCACCACAAGGTAAGTGCCAGAAGACACCTACAGACACAGGGGAGGAAGGGATGCCCATAGCATTTATGTAGCAACTGCTGTGCTCTGGGTGGCTTTGCCTGCATTTTCTCTTCACAGGGACTCTTTGAGATAGATATCATTATCCTATTTTACAGATGGGAAAAGTAAAGCTGGGAGTAATTACATAACTTGCCCAAAGTCACCCAGTTAGCACTTGGCAAAGCAGGTATTAAAACCCAGGTCTATCAGACTCTAAAGCCCATGTGCCTTCTTTCTTTCTTTCTTTTTTTTTTTTTTTTTTTGAGACAGAGTCTCGCTCTGTTGCCCAGGCTGGAGTGCAGTGGCTAGATCTCAGCTCACTGCAAGCTCGGCCTCCCGAGTTTACGCCATTCTCCTGCCTCAGCCTCCCGAGTAGCTGGGACTACAGGCGCCCACCACTTCGCCCGGCTAGTTTTTTGTATTTTTTAGTAGAGACGGGGTTTCACCGTGTTAGCCAGGATGGTCTCGATCTCCTGACCTCATGATCCGCCTGTCTCGGCCTCCCAAAGTGCTGGGATTACAGGCTTGAGCCACCGCGCCCGGCCTGCCCATGTGCTTTCTACAATAGAGCTCTGCTGCTGGGGCCCTTCAGAGGACACATACAGTTGGAGCCATCCTTAAAGGCTTCATGGAAGAGATGATATTTGAAATGGGCCTTGAAGTTTGGGTAGGATTTAGGTGGTTGGGGATGCAAGGTGAAGAATGTTTCTAGGCAGAGGGAACAGCATGAGCAATAGCCAGAGGGCACGTATGGAGTAGAGCTGGCAGTTCAGTTTGGCAGGAGAGTGGGTTGTGCTCAGAGGAGTTATGCCAGGGGAAGCTGGACAGGCGGTCTGTGCTCTGGCAAAGAAATTTCAATACTGTGCACAATTCTGGTGGTGGAGGAACCACTGATAGATCCTGGTAGGGCCAAGCATCAGGAAATAAAACTTATTTCATCTCTGTATCTCTCCTCATCATGCATATGTGTGGTAGGGACTCAGTAAATGTTGGCAGAATGAATGAAGGAGATGATAGCTTTTGGGTTTTTTTTTTTTTTTTTTGAGACAGGGTCTCACTCTGGAGTGCTCTGGCTGGAGTGCAGTGGTGCAGTCTTGGCTCACTGCAACGTCCACCCCACCGGACTCAAGCAGTCCTCCCACCTCAGCCTCCCCAGTAGCTGGGACCACAGATATGCGCCACCATGCCCAGCTAATTGATAGGTATTTGAGATCTGGTGATCATATCCTTATTATGATTTGAAGTCTTCACTATAAAGTGCGGTTTTTTTTTTTCTTCTTTTTAACTTACTTTGAATTTAGAAGGCAGGCTTTTCACCTTGAATGAATTTTTTTAAATGGAAGAGAAGGAGGGAGAAAAGAAGGGAAAGAGAGAGAGAGGGAAGGAGAAAAAGAAGGAGGAGGAGAAGGAGAGAGAGGGAGAGGGAGGAGGGAAGCAGGAAAAGTGAAGATGGGGAGATCAGCTCAGAGCTCACTGCAGTTGTCCCAGTAAGAAGCGGCAGAGCCCTGGGCCAAGGCAGAAGCAGTGAAGCTGTAGGAAAGAGATAAATGTAGGAGAGGTTTGGGGATTTTACTGCCAGGAGTTGGCAGCTGATTGGCTCCAGTCCTGTCCAGAGATGGCTTACAGCCCCAGCCCAGGGCCCAGCTCCTGGCCTTGAACCAGAGGATTCTGATACCATTCATGGAAACGGAGAACTCTAAGAAGGTGCTGCTTAGGGGAGGAGGAGATGAGTTCTGTTTTAGGCGAGTTGGAGATGTCTGTGAGAGGTCTGAACAGTGATGTCCAGTTCGAGGTAAGAAAAGGGGTGGGGTCTAACCTCAGAGAAGGGTGTAGAACTTGCATATGGAGATGGTGCTTAGAAATGACAGATGTGAGCTCAAGCAACGCAGAGAGGAGGGAAGGAGAAGAGGAGTTCTCCCTTCCCCCCATGTCTTGCACTAGAATAAAAGTGAAATAGTTTTCAAGTTCCTGCTCTATGCTGGGCATTCTGCTGTAGTTTCACATCCATCATCTCACTCAGTTATCTCAACAACTTTGTCATCCACTCTGTTCACTCACTGCTCTTTCTGTTTCCTTCATTCTTTACTCAGGAGAGGTTTATGAAGCACCTGCTTAGTGGTTCTAGGAGTTGAGGATACCAAGGTCTTCCTTTAAAGAAGCTTTAGTTAAATACAGGAGATAAGATATCTAATTACAAAACAAGATAGAAAGTGTTACACATCCCAACAGAGGTACTAGCAAAAGCCTAAAGAAGGTCAGAGTTAGGAGAGGAGCCTTTAGCTTGTTGGGAGGAATGGAGAAGGAAGGAATGAAAGCATATTTATTAAGTACTCACTATATGTCAGGCCCTTTGCTAGGAAAACTATTATATGTTATCTGGATTAATTGCAGCCATTTCACCCATAAAGAACTGGACAGCCCAGTGCAATGGCTCACACCTGTAATCCCAACATTTTGGGAGGCTGAGGCAGGAGGATTACTTGAGCTCAGGAGTTCTAGATCAGCCTGGGCAACATAGGGAAACCCTATCTCTACAAAAAAAAAGAAAAAAAAATTAAATCAGCTGGGCATGGTGGGGCAGCCTGTGGTCCCAACTACTTGGGAGGCTGAGGTGGGAGGATCACTTGAGTTCAGGAGATTGAGGCTGCATTGAGCCATGATCACACCACCGTACTCCAGCCTGGGAGATAGAATGAGAACTAGTCTTGGAAAAAAACAAAAAACAAAACAAAGAAGCTAGTCAGCTGGTCAAGTTGGTGTCACTGCCTTGTTCTCCTGTATGAGCCTGTCTTCCTCCAGCACAGCACTTATCACACATTGCATAATTGCTCAATTGTGTCCCCCACTAGACTGTGAGCCCCACAAGGACAGGGACTGCATTTGCCTTGATCACTGGTGAATCTGTGTTGTATTCAGCAGGTTGGACCATCAGCATAGTCCCTGATAAAATGTAGGTGCTCTGTAAATATCTGTTGGGAAGGAAAGAAGGAAGGGAGGGAAGGGAGGGAAGCACAAGCAAAGAGGTTTGGGAAAGTATCTGTATTAGTCTGTTCTCATGCTGCTGCAAGGACATAACCCAAGACTGGGTAATCTGTAAAGGAAAGAGGCTTAATGGACTCACAGTTCCACATGGCTGGGAAGGCCTCACCATCATGATGGAGGCAAAGGGGGAACAAAGGCACATCTTACATGGCAGCAGGCAAGAGAGCATGTTCAGGGGAATTGCCCTTTATAAAACCATCAGATCCCATGAGATTTGTTCACTTTCACGAAACAGCATGGGAAAAACCCACCCCCACGATTCAGTTACCTCCCACTGGGTCCCTCCCAGGACATGCGGGGATTATGGGAGCTACAATTCCAGATGAGATTTGGGTGGGGACACAGCCAAACAATATCAGTATCCAAGATTTTATTTGTGTGTATATATATATATATATATATATATATAAAATGGTGGTAAGATTCAGGAAGCAGTGTGAACTCCAAGGTGAGAGTGAGCCTCTAGGTGAAGGGGAGAATGAACAGAGCAAACTGTATTCCCCTCTTTTCATTTTTGAGCTTTTGGGGGAAACAAAATAAAAATTTTGTTTTCAGCAGAGTACTGCTGGGATGGGAAGGATGAGAATGCTGAGAATGGGGTTCCTGCTCACTCTGTCGCCTGCCAGCTCTGACCCTCCAGCTGTCACATGGGCCTCAGTGATTTCCCTGTGTCTTTACAGGATGGAGGGCAAAGCCAAGTACATCCTCCCTACTGAAACAATATATGTTGGGGAAATGAAGGACGGTGTGTTTCATGGCGAAGGAACTCTGTACTTCCCCAGCGGGAGCCAATATGACGCTGTTTGGGAAAATGGATTGGCCATAAAGGTGATCAGCCGGGGGGGCGGGTGCTGTGGAGGAGAGATCCTCGGGCAAGAAGAGCCTCACCCTGTGGCGCCCCATCTACCCTGTCTGGTGCCTACCTCCTTCCATTCCCTCTTCTCTTTGTTTCTCCTCCTCTCCCCCGACTTTTTTTATTTATTTATTTATTTATTTATTTATTTATTTATTTATTTTTGAGATGGAGTCTCACTCTGTCGCCAGGCTGGTGTGCAGTGGCACAATGCTCACTGCAACCTCTGCCTCCTGAGTTCAAGCAATTCTCCTGCCTCAGCCTCTCAAGTAGCTGGGACTACATGTGTGCGCCACCACGCCCAGCTAATTTTTGTATTTTTAGTAGAGACAGGGTTTCACCATGTTTGCCAGGATGGTCTCAATCTCTTGACCTTATGATCCACCCGCTTCAGCCTCCCAAAGTGCTGGGATTACAGGTGCAAGCCACTGCACCCACCTGGCATTTTTTTTTTTTTTTTAAACGAGTCTCACTCTGTTGCCCAGGCTGGAGTGCAGTGGTGTAATCTCAGCTCACCACAATCTCTGCCTTCTGGGTTCAAGTTATTCTCTTGCCTAGGCCTCCTGAGTAGCTAGGATTACAGGTGTGTGCCAGCATGCCCGGCTAATTTCTCCCTGCTTCTGGATCTCCCAGTGCCCTAGAATCCTCTCCTTCTAGATCTGGAAGGATTTGTGGAGAGGCTATGATGAATTTGCATCTGCTACGCCACTTACTGCCTGATCTTGGGCCCATGACTTCACCTCCCTGAGAGTTCTTCACCTATCAACTCAGGACAGTAGTTGCATTAGTTATCTATTGGTACTATAACAGGTTACCACAAATTTAGTCTGAAATCAGCGCAAATGTATTATCTTACAGTTCTGGAGCTCAGAAGTCTGAAATAAGTCAGCAAACCTGCATTCTGTCCAGAGGCTCTGTGGGAAAACCTGTTTCTTTGCCTTTTCCAGCTTCTAGAGGCTGCCTGCATTCCTTGGCTCATGGCCACGCATCACTCCAACCTCTGCTTTCATCATCACATCACCCTTCATCCCTTTGCTTTCATCATCTCGTCTTCTCTCACCCTGGCCTTACTATTTCCCTCTCATAGGAATCTTGCAATTATATTTGGCATACCCAGATAATCCAAATAATCTTTCCACTTCAGGATCCTTCATTTAATTGCATCTGCAAAATATCTCTTGCCATGTAAGGTAGCATATTCACAGGTTGCAGCAGACAGGGACATCTTTGGGGGACCATTATTCAGCCTACCACAATAGTACAAGGCACCTCCTAGGATGATCATAAGAGTAAATGAGGCAATATATATATGAACACTTTGCTAAGTTCCCAGCATACAGGAGGCACTCAATAAGTGTTAGCTCTTACTACCACCATCACTGCTACTATCATTATAACCTACCTAATCCAAGGATTCTTACCCTGGTATTTGTGGGTCATGAATAGAATTCAGGGAGTCACTGAAACCTCTTGATTTATATACAGAAGTTTCTGTGTAAAGGGGACTAAGTTTTTCTCCAGGAAAAGCATCTATAGCTTTCATCAGTTTCACTAAGAGCGTGTTGGGGCCTGGCTCATGACCTAAAAAACGTTAAGATTTCTTAACCTTGTTTTATAGCTTGGAGAATCTAAGCCCCAGGAAGGGGATGTGACTTACCCGAGGTCACACAGTGAATTAATAGTATCATTGGAATTTCCACCCGTGTTTCCTGATGCCCAGGCCAATGCAATTTCTACATCCTGAGGCTTCCTTTAGCAGTAAGGCAGCAAAGGCAGAACGTATGTGTTTGGACAAAGGGCCATGGCTGATGGCTCTGACCTTTCCAGCTATAATAATAATAAAAGAATAATAACATTTATTGAGTGCTTACTTTGTGTCAGTGTGTCAGTCAGGGTTCTTCAGAGACACAAAACCAATAGGATATACAGAGATGTATGGAAAGAGATTTACATTAGGGATTGGCTCACAAGATTATGGAGGCTAAGAAGTCTCCCAATCTTCCCTCTGCAACCTGGAGGCCCAGGAAAGCTGTTAGTGTAGTTCCAGTCCAAACCCAAGGGCCTCAACCAGGGGAGTCAATGGTGTAAGTCCCAGTCAGAGTTCAAAGGCCTGAGAACCGGGAATGCTGATGTCCAAGGGCAAAGAAGATGGATGTCCCAGCACAAGCAGAGAGAGCGAACTGATGCTCCTCTGCCTTTTTGTTCTATCCAGGCCCTCAACGGATTGTATCATGCCCACCCACTTTAGTGAGGGTAGAACTTCTTTGCTCAGTCCACCAATTAAAATGTGAATTGCTTCTAGAAACGCCCTCATGGACACACCCGGAAATGTTTTACCAGCTATCTAGGCATCCCTTTCCCTTAACCTAGTCAAGTTGTCTCACCAAATCAACCATCACAGCCAGGCACTGTGCTAAATGCTTCACGTGTGCTATCTCATTGAATTTTCAATCAACCCTATTTCATGTATACCATCATTAACTTAATTTTACAAATGAAGAAATGAAGGGCCAGAGAGAGTGGGTCATCTGCCCAAGTTCATCTGCCCAAGTTCATCTGCCAAAGTGAGTTCACCTACTTTGAGTGGCAGGGACAGGGCTCAGCACTTATACCCATTCCCTCTCATCATCACAACCATAATAATTGTGATCGTTACCACTTCTTTACTGTAGCCATCAGAAAGCCCCCTACTTCCCTTGACATCTGAACCTCTTGGCCAAAAGCCTTCAGCCTCCTCAGATGCACATGTGCGCTCCTTGTCTTCCAGGGCACATACACCTTTGCAGACGGGCTGCACTATGATGAGAAGAACTGGCATTACTGCGACGGCTATGATCGGAGGTTTTACACAGAGATCCTCAATGGCCTGAAGCCTGCAGGTACCCAGGCACCCACCCTTTCCTTGATACCCCAAACTGAGAGGCAAACTAAGACGGTTTCAGATAAGTGCACTGTGGCCTAAAGAAGTAACTTAAAGGGGAAGAGGAACTGAGCAGCTGCAGAAGAATACAAAAGAGCCAGGTCCTGGAGCCAGGAAGGCCAGTCCTCATATCTCAACTCCACTATGCTAGTCAGAGGACCATGGGCAAGGGGCTTTACCCACTGTGCCTCAGTTTCTTCCCTTCAAAATGGAGTCAATCGGCTGGGCGCAGCGGCTCATGCCTGTAATTCCAGCACTTTGGGAGGCCAAGGCGGGTGGATCACTTGAGGTCAGGACTTCCAGACCATCCTGGCCAACATGGTGAATCCCCGTCTCTACTAAAAATACAAAAATTAGCCGGGTGTGGTGGTGTGCCTGTAATCCCAGCTACTCCGGAGGCTGAGGCATGAGAATCGTTTGAACTCAGGAGGTGGGGGTTGTAGTGAGCTGAGATCACGCCACTGCACTCTAGCCTGGGCGACAGAGTGAGACTGTGGTCTCAGGAGGAAAAAAAAAAAAAAAAAAAAGAGATCAAAATGGAATCAATAGCATAATCTACCTCCCAAGATTGTTGTAAATAAGATAATTCATGTCAGGTGTTTAGAACAGTGCCTTGAATGCATATGGGTGCACGGTACATGTCAGCTGTTCTTATTTGTAGTACCTCCTATAACACTAAAATTTCATAAATATTTTAAAAAGAAAGAGTTAAGGGCAAAAGCAGTACTGACAGAGTATGTGCTTTGTGTATCAGGTGCTGAGGGAGGCTGTCTGTAATCCCTGTCTCCCTAATGTCCAGATGATCCTGCCCAGTCAGCCTTCCTAGTCCCATGTCACTCCAAGTTGAGGCTGTGGAGTTCAGACATGGTTCCCTGTGGCAGAGCTCACACTGGAGGCCCAGACTTCCTCTCTGAGGTCCTCTGTATCATGCTCCCTCCCTGCCAAAACCATGTTTCATCACGGACGGCTACATTTGGACTACAAGTCTGGATTCAGAGAATGGCACCTTAAAAGGCTCATCTGAGTGTTTTTGAGATGTGTTCCACGTCAGAAGAGCCTCAAGACAGGGGTAGGGGAGGGATAGCATTAGGAGAAATACCTAATGTCGATGACGAGTTGATGGGTGTAGCAAACCACCATGGCACGTGTATACCTATGTAACAAACCTGCACATTCTGCACATGTACCCCAGAACTTAAAGTATAAAAAAAAAATAATAATTTAAAAATTTAAAAAAGAAGAGTGTAGTTTTTGGCACAGCAGAGATAATATATCCAAAATGACAGATGGGGAAACAACTCTGTATACTATAAAAGCAATCCCAACTTAGGTTATGAGAGACCATGAGCTGTGGTTGATAGAGCATGGAGCCAGAAATTGTGGGTTTGAGTCCTAGCATTTCCTGTCTATAGCTACATGAGACTGCACAAGTCAACCTCCATCAGGGCAGAAGCCTTCAGGAAGCACCCAGGCCCTGGAATCAGGCTGACCTGAGCTCAAACCCCCATCTCCTTCCCTTCCCAGCTTCATGACCTTGGATCAGTTAGTTGACCGGGTGAGCTGCCTTCTCTCCCTTTGCCCTCCTGACACTTACTCTGCTATTTTTCTCCTATCCCCAGGCGTCTTTGCCAGTGCCTCCTCAACTTCACCCCACCCCCAGTTATTCATGCTGAGGTTCCCGGGGCTCTCTGGCTTAGGCACTTTCTGTTATCATTCTTTTTTTTTTTTTTTTTTTTTTTGAGACGGAGTCTCGCTCTGTCGCCCGGGCTGGAGTGCAGTGGCTGGATCTCAGCTCACTGCAAGCTCCGCCTCCCGGGTTTACGCCATTCTCCTGCCTCAGCCTCCCGAATAGCTGGGACTACAGGCGCCCGCCACCTCGCCCGGCTAGTTTTTTGTATTTTTTTTAGTAGAGACGGGGTTTCACCGTGTTAGCCAGGATGGTCTCGATCTCCTGACCTCGTGATCCGCCCGCCTCGGCCTCCCAGAGTGCTGGGATTACAGGCTTGAGCCACCGCGCCCGGCCTGTTATCATTCTATATGCTTTTCCTGAACAAGTTGATATACTTCTAAGCCTTCAACTACCATCAGCTTCTAAATTGAAATCAGAATCCCTGAGCCTAAGATCCCTGCATCAAGCCTGACTGACACCTATCTTGGTCATTCCCCAAATTGTCTGCACTGAATTCATTGTCACCCCCACTGTGATGGCTGCCTCACTGAATGTCATGCCCATCCACCTAGGTAAGCCTAATCCTCCCTTCCCCTGCCCCCTAAGTGCAATAGTCCTATGGATTTTACCTCTGAAATATATTCTTTCATTTGTTTAGTCGACAAATATTTACTGAGTATTTCCATGTGCCAGGCAGCATTTTCTTCATCCTCTTTGCCACTGCCCTGTTCCAGCCCTCCATCATCTCTCCCCTTGATGACCTGACTTCCAGAGATCCCCACTTGGCCATTCTTGAGGTCATTCTCCTTTCTGCAGCAGTCACTTCCATCTTTTTTTTTTTTTTTTTTTTTTTTTGCTCTGTTGCCCACGCTGGAGTGCAGTGGTGTGATCATAACTCACTGTAACTTTGAACTCCTGGGCTCAGGCGATCCTCCTGCCAAGTGATCTGGTCTCCTAAGTAGCTGGGACTACAGGCATGCACCACCACTGCTGGTTAATTTTTTTTTTTTAAGTTTCTTGTAGAGATGGGTCTTGCCATGTTGCCCAGGCTCATCTAGAACTCCTGGCCTCAAGCTACCCTCCCTCCTTAACTTGGGATTACAGGCGTGAGCCACCATGCCCAGCCACTTACATCTTTTAAAGTGTGAATCTGATTGCCCCCATCCCCCAACCCTTGAGTGCTCCCTATACCCTCAACATAAGGTTTCAAATTCTCAGAAACAGTGACATTCTCTGGCTACTGCTCATGTCCCAGCCCCTTCCTGGGCTACCCATTCTTCTTGGTTTTTCTTTCTCCCTTCTTGCCATACTTGCTTTCTCTCTATTTCTCAAGGAGACCACACTTTTCCACCATTCTCTCTGCCTGGAATACTTTAACCCTCTTACTTCACCCAAATAACTCCTTCCCGTCCTTCACGTCTCAGCTCAATGTCCTGAAGCTGGGACCCCCTTCCCTGAATTCCCACACTAGGTAAGGTCTCCCTGTGGCATATCACAGAGCAGCCATGATCTCCCCCCAGGGCTTGGATCTTGAGTGTTCAGGTCCTCTTCCCAAGCTGTCAGCAACATGAGGGCAGGGCCCTAGCACATTGTCTGGCATACAGTGGGTACTCGTTAAAGAGTTATTGTCAAACAGGGATAATAATATCAACATCACAGCGCAGGGTGAAGTATGTGCTTAGGGGAGTTAAGGCAATGACAGTAAGAAACATTTCCTAAGCTCCTACTGTATGTCAGACACTGGCTGGCCCCAGGGAGACCAGAGCTGAGAGGACATCGTCTCTCCCTTCGAAGAGCTGCCAGTCTAGCTGCAGCTTGAGAACCTTGCAAATCACTCCTCCCCGATTACTTATGATGGGAGGCCTGGACTTTGCCATGGGCTCTTTACCCCAATTAAGGCTGTAGGCAAAAAGCCCTCAGCCTTAGGCCTCAGCTCTCACACAGTGGCTGGTTTTGCTAAAGCTGAGCCTCTGCCAGTCTCATGGTGGTTTTTCCCAAACCTGCCTGGCTCTTCCCTTCTTCTCCAGTGACCCTCAGCAGAGAAGCTTGATTCTAAGTAGCTACTTCCTTCCCTTGTCATTCCACACTTTGCCTCTTGGGGCTGGCATTGTTAGGGTAACTCGCCCTGCCTGCAAGGCAGGGTGAGGGTTAAAAGTGCCCCACAACCTCTTCGAGCATCTGTGAAGTAGGCATTGGCATGACGCTTCAGTGAGAGAACGGCTGTAAAGTGCCTGACGTGGAGTAAGTGCTCGGCAATCATTAGCCAGTACACACGGAGTTAGGGTTAGGGTCAGGGTCAATGTCAGGGTTAGTGTTAGGTATGTCATTAAGCAACACAAGAGTGCCTACTGTGTGCAAGACACTGATTCGTGGAAATGGTGCTGTGTGCTCAGTGGGCATCCAGCTCTCAGTCTAGAGAACAAGGAATTATAGGAACTATAGTTAGAAGGAACCTGAGAAGTTATTTATTCCAACCTCTCCCTTTACTTGAGCCATGGCTTTTCAAGATACACACACATAGGGTGCGTGACCTAAAAGGTGCACTCGATCTTCTTTCCCTCCCAGAGGTCTCAGTGTCCCTGGTCCTGTGGCTGCACCTAGGCTCCCTCCTCCCCTGATGTTGGCAGCTGAACATACAGGTTCCAGAGTTAGACTGCTTCCTAGCTGGATAACCTTGGGAAAGTTACTTTAACTTCTCTGAGCCTCAGTTTTCTTATCTGTAAAATTGAGCCACAGAGTTGCTCTCAGGATTAAATAAAATAGGAGCACAATGCCTGGCACATAATAAACATTGAATAAGTGGCAGCCACCTGGTAATTTTGGCGAAAGTCAAGGTTCTCCACCACCTGCCCCTTGTCCACCTGATCCATTTCTTTCCTGCTGTTCTCCTTCACACGTCCTCTGCTCTACAAGGTTTCGAAAGGAGGGCCTAAGGACCCATGCCTCTGGCCTCTGCCCACGCCTTGAATGCCACCCCTCTTCTAGACCTGATGCTCTCCCATCTGTTTGCCAACTCTGACTTATCCTCAGGGTCTGTCTGACTTCAGAACCTGTGCCCTTTTTCACGGTATCCCAAGAAATGGAAAAGGATGGGGTCAAACGAAGAAGACAGAGCGTCTAGTTCCCAAGACCCTGTTCCCAAGAGCCATTTTCAGAAAGTTCCTTTGGGGCACTGCTTCTGCTGGGTTTGCTTCTTGCCCTGAGTAGGGGTTATTTAGTTCAACAGTGGAGCCAGATAGTCACATGAGCCACCAGCCACAAGTGGACCTTATGGGAACACTGGGTTTAGATTTGGCCTTGATGGTGAACTAATTGCCCATTATGTTCTTTCAAGGTATGGCTCAACTCACCAATATGGACCCACCTAGAAAAATACCCAAGGGCTATTACGATTGTGGAGACGGCTTCTATAACCCCGTCACGAGGGTAATCAAGGACTACAGGAACCGCTTTCTGAGAAATGCAGGTAGGTTTCTTTCGACACTGCAGCACATTTTCTCTTCATCCACATATAAGTATGTGCATCCGTATGTACAAATGTATGCACACACTTGATGAGAAAAAAGCTTTTGCTGATGAAAGATGATTACCTGGATGTTTTATCTTGTGGACTTCTCATGGCAAATCTGTACATAGTCCTAGAGGGAGGTAAAAGGACATTCGTGGTCTAGCTGTGATGGCACATAAATGTCGCACTGAAAGGATTAAGGTACTTATTTTTGCATGCATTCCTTCAATTTTAATGGGCACCTACTATATGCTAGACACTGTGCTTGGTGTTGGGGAAAAAGCAGAGCAAAGCTGGACACAGCCCCCCTTCCTTGTGGAGCTTGCATTCTAAAGGTGGCAGCGTAGTACTAGAAACAGTTAATTGCATCATGGAACAAACACAATGAAGGGCAAAACATGGTCCTGCAGGGAAGGGAAAGTAGGGGCCCCAGAGAGGTGGGACAGATGCTGTGGGAGCACAAAGAAGGGATATCAAATCCCGAAGTGGTAAGTCAGAGAAGGTTTCAAGGAGGAAATGACTTCTAAGCTAAGACCTGAAGAATAACTGGGATTTGACCACAAGGCTTGGGGACAGGGTTTCCCAGCGAGAGGAAATGGCACAGGCAACAACCTAGAGGGGAGTGATCCCTTGAGGTCCAAGAAGGTTGGTTCATCTTTTAGTCAGGGGAGTAGGTACCTTGGAGGATCCAGAACCTCGGTTTGGTGAGTCAACACAAGGCTGATCAGACTGAGAAGAACCCATTTGCAGTGACCACACTCACAGGAGATCAATACACAAATAATAGGAACATTTTCCTTTAATGCAATGATTCCTAACCTTACCCTTTTCTGAAGTCACACTCCCGCTAGGAATATCGAAAGATATGGACCCTCTTGCTAGAAAAATGTCCATGCATGCACACACACAAGCACACATGTGCACACATGTGCCCACACACACACACGCACACACACACACATTTTGCAGATAGTCTTAAGGGATGGATGGTCCCTCTAAAGACCCAGGTCAAGAAACCTTGCTCTATAATGAGAAAGAAACTTCCAGGTAGACCAGACCATCTGTGCTGGTGGATGACAGCATCATCTTCCTATAGGGAAATTTACTCAGTAAGTCAGTGATGACCAGAAAGCTGCCTTGTGGGGCTAGAATAAGAGCAAGGAGAATTGTCAGCTGATCCTATGACTGGAATCCTGGAGCTAAGACGCCCCTAACCCACTGGATGCTACTGGAGGAACATGGTAAATGCTCACACTCCAAGTCCCCCGGCTCACATTTCTTCAATGACTTCCCTTTTCCATTTGCACAATGCACTACTCTGTAGCATGCTAACTCTGCTGGGTGCTAATACATTTACCATGAAGTTTCTTAGTCAAATAAGATAGGGAGATATTGCCCTAAACAATGCTAACCAGGCTTATTTACTGCAGAACTTCTCAGGGCCTTTAATATGCTAATATACTTTGTACTTTTCCTTCATGGCACTTATTTCAACATAATTAAATGTAATTATTTGCTAAATATCTATCTCTCCCACTAGACTGTAAGATCTGTGTGAGAAGGAACTCTGTATTATCTTGTGTCAGTAAGAGTTCAGTTAGAAAAATGGAAAGAGGCCTGGCGTTGTGGCTCATGCTTGTAATCCTAACACTTTGGGACACCAAGGTGGGCAGATCACAAGGTCAGGAGTTCGAGACCACCTGGCCAACATAGTGAAACACCATCTCTACTAAAAATACAAAAAATTAGCTGGGCATGGTGGCGGGTGCCTGTAATCCCAGCTATTCAGGAGCCTGAGGCAGGACAATTGCTTGAACCTGGGAGGCGGAGGTTGCAGTGAGCCAAGATCGCCCCACTCCACTCCAGCCCGGGTGACAGTGTGAGAATCTGTCTCAAAAAAAAAAAAAAAAAAAGAAAAAAGAAAAATGGAAAGAATTTAATATCAGGAAATTGGTGGCTACCAGGGAACTGGAAAAGCAAAGGAAGACATTGAGGTAACAGAGAAAGTAACTGCAGGATGCAGGTACCCCCTCAAGGACTGGGGACAATAGTAAAAGATTAGGTTGTGAGAACCTAGAAGGTCAACAGAGGGACCCCCAGGACCTGCAACCCAGACCCCTGAGCAGAGGCCAGCTGGGGCTGGCTCCTGGGAGCTCAGAGCAGGGCTCCTGCAGAGTTGGGACCCAGACCTCTGGTGGGACAGCACTGCCTAGTGGAGCCTCTGAAGAGAGAAATGAAGCTGATTCTAGGAGTGTGGAAAAAACTGGAAACTGGAAGTGAAATGACACTGCTGCGATGACACTGGCTTGAACAACAAAGACAATAGAAAGGAGGGTGTCTTTGTCTGCCTGACAGCCCCTAACAAGGAGCTGGCTGGCAAAACTAATGTAATTCAAACAGTTCCAGTCCCACCGTTGCCAAGTTAAGTATAGAAGGGTCCGTTTGGAGCTGAGAGTCAGTGCCTTCTTTTTTTTAATTTTGAGATGGAGTTTCACTCTTGTTGCCCAGTCAGGAGTACAATGACACGATCTTGGCTCCCTGCAACCTCTGCCTCCCAGGTTCAAGTGATTCTCCTGCCTCAGCCTCCCAAGTAGCTGGGATTACAGGCACCCACCACCATGCCCAGCTAATTTTTGTATTTTTAGTAGAGACGGGGTTTTGCCATGTTGGCCAGGCTGGTCTTGAACTCCTGACCTCAGGTGATCCATCCGCCTTGGCCTCCCAAAGTGCTGGAATTACCTGACACCGCACCTGGCTGGGTGTCAATAGCTTCTCACTGGCCCAGCCACCCCTTTTGTTGCTCAGCATCCACACACATTCTTCTACAGATATTAAGTCTTCTGTACAACATTAACAAATGTATTTTTTTTTGTATAACAAGTTTCAATACATCCTCCATATTAACACAAGGCCCTCTCCCCTTCTCCCACAGAGGGCAGATACCGCACCCATCTTTTGAGTAAGGTTATTCCTTGACAGTTCTGCCTGAAGATTCTATAACCTACAAGCTCCTGCCGATAATCCTTCCATAAAATAACAAGGATAAAAGAGGAAACAAAAGAAAAAATTAGTTAATAAAAGCAAATATGCTAGCCAGGCATGGTGGCTTGTGCCTGTAACCTCAGCTACTTGGGAAGCTGAGGCAGGAGGATCTCTTGAGCTCAGGAGTTTGAGGGCATCCTGGGCAACACAGCAAGACCTTATCTCTTAAAACAAAACAAAACAGACCGAGTGCAGTGGCTCACACCTGTAATCCTAGCACTTTAGGAGGCCAAGGCAGGTGGGTCACCTGAGATCAGGAGTTCAAGACCAGTCTAGCCAACATGGTTAAACCCCATCTCTACTAAAAATACAAAAATTAGCTGGGCATGGTGGTGCATGCCTGTAATCCCAACTACTCAAGAGGCTGAGGCAAGAGAATTGTTTGAACCCAGGAGGCAGAGGTTGCAGTGAGCCGAGATCACACCACTGCACTCCAGTCTGGGTGATACAGCGGGACCCCCTCTCAAAACAAAACAAAACAAAATGTGTATATAGATGAATAAATAGAAAGATAGATGACATAGATACAGATATACATACACATACAAGCAAGGAGAAAAAACTATATCACTACTACAGTTCTCTTTCTGTAACTGGTCACAAGGCTGTAGGTAATATTTACAAATTCCTTCTTCCATTATTCATCCCAGGTTCCATTTGCCTTGAGCCCACCCTTCCACTGGTCTGGCTTTTTACCTAGCAGGGTAATCAAAACCTTCATTCTTGAAGGGTCCAAACCCTCAGGGGTCCTGCCTTTGTTGGTTATTAGTTGGTTGAGTTAGTTTTTTATGAACTTTTACTGTGGTCAGTGGAAGTACCAAGAGGTGTCCTGGAGAACTACTGGGTTCCATACAGTGTTCCCTTTCTCCTAATGGATGGCAGCATTATCTTCTATATCCAGCCTTCTCTCAGGAGCCAGGAGAAACTGATGGTAACACAGATTATAACAGCATAGAGTTGCTGCCAGACAACTTAGTAGGGATACTTTACCCTGGAGGCCAGTAGGCCAGGGAGGTTTCCTGGAAAAAGAAAGATCTACTCTGTAATCTAAAAAAGAACAGACAAATGCAGCAGGGTTGGTAAGAGTGTTGAAGGCAGAGGGGACAGTAGGTGCAAAAGGATTATAGTTGGGAGAAAACATGTCATAAATAGGGAGCTCCAACTAATTCAGGAGCATGAGCTAACAGTATGAAAGGAGACAAAAAGCAAGAGAGGAAGCCTGAAAGGTGGGCGGGGTGAGGGCAAAGGTTACGGCTGTCTTTCACCCTAAAGCAGTGGGGAGCAAGGGAAGGCTTTAGGCAGTTACTAACATAGTAACTCATTTGTTCTTTAGAAAGACTTCTTTGATTACATATAGAGAAGAGGCCAAAAGAGGTTAGATTAGGTAGGAGATCCTTCTGGTAAGATGATGGGAGAGAGGAGCATGTGAAGGACATGGGCTCAGGGTGATGGGGTAGGTGACCTGGGTTCCTGGTCCTGGCCCCAGCTCTCAGGCTGCCTGCTGGATGACCCCCGGCCAATGCCTTCCCTCTCTGGGCCCCTTTCTCTTCATGGATAAAATGAGAGAGTTGAACTGGATAATGTCTAGGGCCCTTCCAACATTAAGTAGGAGTCTATGATGGAGGAGAAAGGTAGCCAAGGAGTATTTTGGTCCTGATATTATAGGACAGATGAAGTTCAGAGTGTCCTGAAAACCACTAAAAAGGAGGCTCTGTTTGTGGCCACCTAGTCATTACCCCTGACTCACCTCACCCTTTGAGGGACTGATTCAGGCTTCTGTCCCTCTTCTGTTTTCCCCAGGGACCTCTTTCTGCTGCATTCCAATCTACCCCCACAAACAGTTCTTCCTGTTGGCATCCTGAAAGCGCAGGCTGCTGGGCCTCTGGGCCTGAGATGGGTGACTGAGGCCATCCCAG